CTGACTCGTGGACTTCAACTCCCAGAATTCCTGAGCCAGCCATGCTGAGGGGAAAGGGAGAGGTTTCCAAGCTGAGTCATGCTGGCTCAGGAATTCTGGGAGTTGAAGTCCACGAGTCATAAAGCGGCCTAGGCCTAGGCCAGAGGTAGGCAACCTTGTCCCTTTTATGACTGGTGGACTTCAACTCCCAGAATTCCTGAGCCAGCATGGCTCAGCCTGGAAACCTCTCCCTTTCCCCTCAGCATGGCTGGCTCAGGAATTCTGGGAGTTGAAGTCCACGAGTCAGAAAGTGGCCTAGGCCTAGGCCAGAGGTAGGCAACCTCGGCTCTTTTATGACTGGTGGACTTCAACTCCCAGAATTCCTGAGCCAGCATGGCTCAGCTTGGAAACCTCTCCCTTTCCCCTCAGCATGGCTGCCTCAGGAATTCTGGGAGTTGAAGTCCACCAGTCATAAAAGAGCCAACAATAAGCCATAACTTGATTTTTGGGGGTGAGCCTAATATAAGCCCTACCCCCAAAATAAGTCCTAGTTTTGGGGCGAGGCACACATCTGAAAATCAAGCTGGGCTGGGGCTGGGGGGGGGGTGGATCCGCCCCATGCGCCCCGCACCCGCTTCCCTTGCAGCCAGGCCTCTCTTTGCCGGCCCACTACTTCTGAGGCCTCTTCTGCATCAATCCATAGCTCGGTTCCACAAGATCTCTGCAGCCGAGCACCGAGCTATGGATTGAATCCATAACTCGGTACTCGGCTACTTAGGCCTTCCGGAAAGGCCTGACTGCAAAATGCAGGCCCGACTTCAAAATGCAGGCCCGAATGCAGCTGCAGAACTTCCGCCCCAGAAGAAGCGGACTGGCTGGGTGGGGCTGTCGATGCTGGAGGTGAGGTAAGGCCTACAACTGAAAATAAGACCTGGTGCCTCTTTTGGAGAAAAAAAAAAAAGACCCGGTCTTATTTTCGGGGAAACACGGTATTTATACTTCATCACCGACATTGTAGGAGGAGATCCATGTTGGTCTAGGGCAGGGGTAGGCAACCTTGGCTCTTTTATGACTCGTGGACTTCAACTCCCAGAATTCCTGAGCCAGCATGGCTCAGCTTGGAAACCTCTCCCTTTCCCCTCAGCGAGGCTGGCTGGGGAATTCTGGGAGTTGAAGTCCACCAGTCATAAAAGAGCCAAGGTTGCCTACCTCTGGCCTAGGGCAGCGAAAAATCAGGAACGTGGCAGTACTTTTTCAGACTGATTGAATACTTTTTTGTAAGCTCGTTTTGCTAGAGGCCTGGAAATCCTACCTCTGTTTAGCTCTTTTGCATGAAAGTTATCCACAATTGAGCTCCGTGGCCAGAAAGCTCGTAAAACGGGCCGAAACTCACTTAACAAATGTCTCGCTTAGCAACATACATTTTGGGCTCAGTTTGTGCTCGTAAGCTGAGGACTACCTGTGCAGTGCTAGATTAAGATAGCCGAGGGTATAACGGACGATGTATTTTGCCCCTCGTAGGTGTTGACTGCTCGGTTCCTGTTCCATCGAATCGCTCCTTTTGGACCCGGGATGAATTCTACGTCCCCAAACTCCCGCGGGCGTCTCACAAAGCCGTGGTCCAAGACGAGGTCATGTGGGTGATCGGTGGCTACATGTTCAATCACACGGACTCTCAGATGGTCTTGGCGTGAGTAAAAAGCAGATTTTAAGTGGGGAAGGAAATGTACATTTCTGCAGATTAAACCCAGCAGGGGTCCCTACGCTAGAAATAAGCTTCTGTATAACTTATCGGTTGCGGTGTGAACTTCTACCAGCTTTGAGAAGATTTTTTTTCCTCATCCAAGCTAGACAAGGTAAAGAATTCCTGGTGATCCAGGGACATTTGAGGCGTGGCGGCGCAGTGGTCAAAGTGCAGTATTGCAGGCTAACTCTGCCCACTGCCAGGAGTTCGATCCTGACTGTTGGATCGATTCAGGCTTCTGTCCTTCCGAGGTCGGTGAAATGAGGACCCAGATTGTTGGGGGCAATAGGCTGACCCTGTGTAACTGCTTAGAGAGGGCTGTAAAAGCACCGTGAAGCAGTACATAGAGTAAGTCTAAGTGCTCTTGCTGTCGCTGTGTGGTTAACTACAACAGGGGTCTCCAACCTTGGCCCCTTTAAGACCTGTGGACTTCAACTCCCAGAATTCCCCAGCCAGCATGGCTGGCTGGGGAATTCTGGGAGTTGAAGTCCACAGGTCTTAAAGCGGCCAAGGTTGGGGACCCCTGCACTACAGTCATGGGACTTTCTCAGAAATTGTACGAGAAATGGCCAGCATGGCTATACGCCAAAGGCACATGGAATGCTGTTCCCTTCCCACCAAAGTGGTAGCTATTTATCTACTTGCATTTGCATACTTTCAAACGGCGAGCAGGAGCTGGAGCAAGAAACGGGAGCTCACCCCGTCGCGCAGCGCTCAGCTCTCGAACCCGGGCTGCCAGCTTTCTAGCTGTGGAGCTCGGCGTCTTTAACCACTGAGCCATTGTGCCCCTCTCCCTCCCCCCCCCCGGACTTATATGTCCCTTTAATTATCAGAATTTTTATAACGTCATTACCAAATATTTACAGCAGAGGTCACCAATCTTTGTCAGTTGGCGGACCGGAGAAAAAGGGAGGGGAAAGCATTTCACATGCGTACGTGTGCGCACGGGGCCGCAAGCATGCACGTGCCGCAAATGGGGCGGGGCTGGTGCCTACGACGTGATACTCGATAGCCCTGCCCCGTTCTTGCGTGGCGCAGCGCCTTCTTTCTGTGTACTGTGGCGCTACGGCAGCCGTTTTTGTGTCTTGCAGCATGGCGGTGGCCCGTTTCTAAACCCAGTGGTGTGGTGGCGCCCCATTTTTATGCCCTGTAGTGGTGACCTGTTTCTGAACCCCACGGTGCGGTGGCGTCCATTTTTGCACCCTGTGGAACAGTGGTGTCCTGTTTTTGTGCCCCGAGGCGCGTCGTCGTCCCGTTTTTGCGTCCCAAGGTGTAGCGGCTGCCCGTTTTTGTGCCCCACGGCTATGGTGTTAGCGCAAGTGAGTGGGTGTGCGCGCATGCGGCCTGGTGGCCAAGCGACCATAGCTCACTACCAGCCCACGGGTTGGAGACCCCTGATTTACAGGATAGGGGACTTCAACACGCTTTCGTCTTTTCAACCACCCCCACGGAAACATGGTGTTCTTTTTGTTAAAGATTATAGTCCAAATTTATTGGGCTGCCCTGGGAATTCTCCTGTTTCTGCCAGCAGGTGAACATTATTCTCATCCAGTGTGTGTCTTTTTTAGCTCTTGTGCTCTGCCTCATGGGTTCCGGTTATGGTAATTTAAAGATGGATCGTTGATTATTTTGTCCCTGGTGGGTTTTTTTCCCCCTTTTTTCTTTTTTCTTTTGGTTGTTATTTTGTGTTGGTGAACTGCATTAATTTGTGTTTTTGGGAGAAGAAAAGGGGGAAATTTTGTTTTCTAGAATAAATTACACCAGCGTTTGACTAATGCACTTTCCTGACTGTGGAAGTCCTTGCCGCTGTCTGGCCTTGGTTGTTTTCTTGCAGACATTTTATTACCATACTGGGTGTCATCATCAGTGTTAGAAGGGAGTGGGGTTTGCTCTCAGTTTATATTCTAGTGGCTTGCTAAGCCCAGAGAGCATCAAGGACCCGACAGCTCCTCCTCCTCCTCCTCCTCCTCCTCCTCCTCCTCC